TACTGGGAGCATAAAGGAATGTCTTTTTGTACAGTGCAAGTAGAAGTTTTTAAGCTGATTTATTATCATTTTTAAATGTATGCTTTAGATAGTTTTTATATAAATGTTTCAAGGCTTATCTATTAAAACTGCCACTAAGAAAGGCTATTGGGTCTCAAAAAGTGTATTCCAAATGACTGATGTATTTTACCATAATGTAAGATATGTCATTCAATTAACTGATAAAATTATAAAAGAGAAAAATGTAAAAAACATATTTTATTCTATATAATGCAAAGCATAAAACTAAACAATGAGTTATGTGTTCCCTGACAATCGCGGGTATCAAACTTCAATTTTAACGTTATAAGCCCTCACATTTACCGCTGAGCTAAAATGGGCAAATAATTGTTACTTAAAAACTCTTAAATAGTATTAAACCGAAGTGTTTGCTTTCATACTTATTAGCTTTACATTAAAATGAAGTTTCTTCAGCATTTTTAGATCCATTTCCATTCCCAAAAGATATAGAACTGACAACAGAAAATATCGTCAATATCGAGGGTACCAAACTAATGAAAAGTACATTATAAGTTTTATAAGAACAGTGTATTTAATTAACTGTACTCATTACCGAGTGGTTTTTATTCTCAGTTTGACTTAAGTAGATAGCTTACTCTGATCGGATGTCAATATTAAATATTCTGGCAACAAATAAAACATACGTAAAATCAGGTCATCCTCTCCGGGTTATTCAACACTAGTCCGCCAAGGTCCAATTTTCCACCGAAAAGGGCAGATACACCTAATGGTCAGCCTGTAAAAACTTTGAATTCGATGACTGATGGATTGCAACCCACTTTGTCCTATTAGACAAGAGAAACTCAAGAGCTGGTGGTTGATGCTGTTACTAGCTGTCTTTTCTGTAGTCTATCAGTAGAAAATTAGGAATGGCTTTGCACAGATAGTTCTTGTGTAGCTTAGCACGAAAATCTTAAACAAGCAAATAAGTCCTAAACACCATTTAAAGTACATAGAAATAGAACATTTTTACAGCTTGAGAAGAACAGGAGAAGCATCGAAGAAGCTCAGTATGGAATACTACACTGATTCCAAGAGAAGCATCGAAGAAGCTCAGTATGGGATACTACACTGATTCAATTTAAAACGGAGCTTGATGACAACAGGCAGCTCATATACAGAAGTTGAATTGACTCACTTGTTGAATTAGATAATATAATAAAATAGTTAAAACAAAAATTAAGACAAATCTTCGATAAAAAACTCTTCAGGTCACTTTCACAGTGACGCAGTCGAACAACGCATGCCTAACTATTTCAATGATGAGAAAAAAAAAACAATCTCTTACTGCCAGCAACAGTATCAAAACGGTAACATCTACCCCCAACAGGATAACACTACAAGTCTTATTCACAGACAGATTTGAAGATTTTTCCTCCATTTTTGCTACAACTATTTTCATCCCAGACATTCTTCTACTAATTAATTAACAATTGGTTGTTACTTTGTAAACATGGTTGGCAGTCATGTTGCACTACACTATAAGTTTGATGAGCTTTCATGCTATTCAGCTCCACAAATAGATTTGATCTGATAATGAGAACTATGACATCCAGATAATACTTAGATGATCATTTAGGTTAAAACTTTTCAAACTATTGATACTATATCAATATTGTGAATTAATGTAATTAGAAATTATGCAGATTTTTAAAATTGTTTTCTTACACTTATAATGCTTTGGTTTATCGCCATTAAGAGATTTACTGTTGATCCAGTATATATATATTAATATGGCAGGTTTATCTCATTCTCTGTTTTTGTTTCATACCACTAAATATGATAGAGAATAAGAAAGTAAATCAGAAATATTAATTTTTCCTAAAAGAGGATTGAAGGCTACTCACACCACTATACAATTGTGTGCTCCCAATCAGCCAGTCAGTAGACACTACAATGACATAAGTAAAACGATCGCATGCCGTGAATCACGAGACGAATTATGTACTCTGTAGGCTACAATACAGCATGAAATATGGACTTCAAAAGCAAGAAATAAAAATATTTGTTACTCTTAATTTTTCAGATGTTTAAAATAGACCACCCTTTTTTGACTAAACAGATTCTAATGAATGAAACTTCCAGTACATTTAAAGGCAGTGCTTCTGAAAAATAGTGCTTGATTCGTACTTTCTGATTGTTACTTCAGATGTGATATACATTGGTAATTGTTATTGGGAAGCTTATTTGAGACTAAAAGGAATGGTAGATGTTGTTTTTGCCCCATCTTTGCCAAAGAGTATGATTGCTTATCTGAGTGTTTGCATTCATGACTTTTTGTATTTGTATATTGAATGTTTTACTAATGAACTAGTAACACCTAAATTGCACTATATGATTCATTATCCTAGACTTATTCAACTTCATCGTCTATTAGTGAGATGTTGGACAGTGAGATTTGAGAGTAAACATTTTTCTTTTAAGCAATTTGTTGCTCGTATTTGTAATTAGAAGAATCTGTGCTACTCTTTGGCCATTGGGCATCAATTTCTCAGTGTTATAATTTTTTAAGAATCTCTATGGATAACACTCTAGAGCTTATTAATGGAATTTTTTTCGAACTTGCTTGTTTGTAATTAAGCACAAAGCTACACAATGGGCTATCTGTGCTCTGCCCACCCAGTGGCTCAGCAGTATGTCTGAATACTTGTAACGTTAAAAACCGGGTTTCGATAACCGTGGTGGGCCCAACACAGACAGCCTTTTGTGTATTCTGTACTTAACAACAAACATTCAAATAAAGTCTTATCGTGGTTGCGAGAACTGCTGCCAGTAGTGTTACATTTAACGTTGGTACCTAGAAGGCTAATAGACGTGTTACACATAAATAATTTTGTTATGGTAACAAGTTAATATCACTGGAGACGATGAGAATCTTAATAAACAGTTGTATTCCCAGTGTATTGTTAATAAAAAAAATTGAATATGACCTGATGTCATACCTAGAGTGATAAGTGAAAGAAATATTGTAAATTTAAATATTATTTCATTTCGTACTAGCAGTGACCCGTAAAACATTAGTGGTAGCATTCATGCCTTTTCCTTGAATTTTCCTTATTCTGTCATTTTCATGCACAACATTTAAGCTACGAAGAACAAAACCATACCAAAATAAAATAGCTAAAAGGTTTTTATAGCCGTCTATCAAAAGAACCAAAGCTAAATTTTTGTAATGTAAGTATATGTAAAGTTGCAAAAACGTCTGAAAATGTGTTCAGAAAATCATAAGCATGTAGCTTTTAATGAACTGCGCATGCGTATTTTAGACCTAAATTAGTTTAGAAATAAATTAGTCGGTTCAGCGTTGTTTGTGTGAAATACTTTACAAATAATAATAAAAAGCAACTAAAGTTGAAATCGAAGCCAGTCGTCATGTGATGACAACGACATTGTGCCACCGTATACGATACTAGTTGCATTAAAAAATTTGACTGATGAAAAAACAGCTAAAGTGATTTCGAATGGAAAAGCCAATATGCAATATGGACTCCTTGAACAAAGTGGGCCTTTCCAAAGATATGAGATTTGTAGAGTTTGATCGAGAAATTTGTGATAAAAGTTCCGGACAGAAAAACGCAAGCGTGTCGTTTGTATAGATTAGACTGCAGTGAAAACAATGATTCAAGACAGACCAACTGTTACAGTTTCTGCTGATAATTTATATTTTAGTCGTGACTTTTTTTGTTTAATTCAAATACAAAATTAAATCATTTTTCTATTACCAATATTTTAGACTTACATCCATCATTTTTATCAAAAGTATAAATTATTTAGGTTTGTCCAGGTAAGTAACATGTTCTCAAACTCACCATTGTAATTGGTAATTGATTAATTATATTGTAATTGCGAGATGATAAAATTCGAACGTTCCATTACGTAATGTAAAATGTATACTTTATTTTGCCCCCAGTGGCACAGCGTATGTCAGTGGACTTACAACGCTAGAATCCGGGTTTCGATACCCGTGGTGGGCAGAGCACAGATAGCCCATTGTGCAGCTTTGTGCTTAATTACACACACAATACTTTATTTCATTGAATATTTGATCATTTCATTCCGTTACGAATAACTAAATCTTTAAATTATTGACAAAAATGTATCAATAGCTGCTATTGATCCAAGTAAACAAGTTTATATTTATCAACAGTTGCTATTGATCCAGGTAAATAAGCTTATATTTATCAACAACTGCTATTGATCCAGGTAAATAAGTTTATATTTATCAACAGTTGCTATTGATCCAGGTAAATAAGCTTATATTTATCAACAGCTGCTATTGATCCAGGTAAATAAGTTTATATTTATCAACGGTTGCTATTGATCCAGGTAAATAAGCTTATATTTATCAACAGCTGCTATTGATCCAGGTAAATAAGTTTATATTTATCAACGGTTGCTATGGATCCAGGTAAATAAGCTTATATTTATCAACAGCTGCTATTGATCCAGGTAAATAAGTTTATATTTATCAACAGTTGCTATTGATCCAGGTAAATAAGTTTATATTTATCAACAGCTGCTATTGATCCAGGTAAATAAGTTTATATTTATCAACAGCTGCTATTGATCCAGGTAAATAAGCTTATATTTCAAATTCAAAGTGTTCAATTATCCACTAAAGACAGTAAACGTGTTTGTGCACTCACGACTTGTCATAAAGAGGTCCTTCTAACGGGTTAACATAACTCGTTTATAAATGTTTCTGTTTATCATATATGGATTATGAAGAACATATTTTTAGTTAGACAAACTAACAATTTATGCTCTAAAAGTCGTGTCTTTTTAACACTCATTAAAAGAGCTGCCCATTTTTGAAATCAAAGTTTCGATTAAACTAAAACTTTTCATGCTTTTAATACTTTTTACTGAGTAGTTGAAACTTCTAAGTTTTGGATTAATTTGGTTCCTTTCACATCAAAGTTCATTTTAATAATAGAAATGTATATATAAGAGAAATATAAATACGCCACTAATTTTTGATGTTTTTGTTTTGATTTTTGTATTCTTCAACGTCACAAGTAAGCATTGCAAAATTCAATCTAAAATTAAAGTCGAACGCAGCTGCGGAAGACCTTTTAAGTCATATAATGGTACCACAATTGTCTTTTTTTTTCATGAATTGTATGGTTTTCAATAATTTTTTTTTTACTAAATCAGTGGAAAATACACTACGGTCGATTTTGTGTGTGTGTGTGGGGGGGGGGGGGTATTTTTTCAGACTAAAAGTCTTTATCATCCTTTCAAATTAAGCTAATGATTTGGTAGCTTACCTGTTCTATAAGTATTTTTAACCCATTATTAACCCTAAGGTGTTAAAATGTTAAACACTAATCTTGTCTCGGATGCTTTACCGCCTACCTTATTTTAAAGAGATGATTGTTAGCCTGTATTTTAATTCAAATTGATAACCAATCTATTCGCTTGGAGGGCCATGACTTAGTCCTCTATCAAATGATCTTCACAAACTTTATTTATAATTGTTTAAGTAATATTTTGATCCTTGGTCAGTCCTACTCAGAACAACGTCATGACGGACTTTGGAAAGCCACGTTATTAGAAGATATTATTCAAATGTCTAGTTTGTGATTTTAGCGATTTCATTAATATGGTGGGGAACGTCACTGGACATTTTCCCAATTATATTCCCATCACTTCGGGTGAGAAACAGGCTTGCTAGTAATTTTTTATCCTTTTTTATTTAACCATTGAAATTCTTAACTAATCAGTGATTCTTCTGGAATTACCTATGCCTAATCATAACAGGGTTTTAACTGATACCAATGATATCACCCTGATATTATGCCCTCAATGAGAGGTTAAGATAAGTTTATAAACTATCCATGATTACTGTAAAGATAGAAGAGTTAAATTCATTAATTGGGTAACAATTCTCCTCTTGAAAGATATTACTAATATTAGAAACTTCTCATTTGGTAATAAATATCAAATAACTTACAATATCAAAATGAATATTCTTTACCAAATAAAACTACGTCATCTCTAGCTGCTTGAAAATAAAAACAAAACTTGAGCTATTTCATCAAATCTGAAAATACAGACCAATAGTTAACAGTTCATCCGATAGTTATTTTTTAAAATTGTTTCGTTAAAATGGTCGTTAAAAGCTTTTAAGTTTTGTTTCTAATTGAAGATGTTAGCATAAAACACTTCTCACTCTTCTACTTCGTCAATTAGTTAGAACTTTTATGTGAAAAGTGAATGTATTTTAATAGTTAGCTTATGAAAACCGTGTTACTATACCAAAAACTCTGGTTTTCTAAGCTCTATCCAGGATACGGTCATTCGATCGGTTGACAATTTATTTCCAATATGATTTCGACAGTCCCTAGTTTTATACTGTGACTTGAAATACTAAAAAAAATATATTTTGTCGAATTTACACACGTTCTACTAACAGAATAACATACTTTGGGAATACGGAATTCTGTCCGTCCGCTGCTATGAATATAACCAAGAAGAAGAGAAAAGATACACGCACTAAACAAATATAAGAGCGAGTTTCATAGATGCATGTTAAATTCTGTGTGTTAAAATTTAACAGAAATTGTTTCCTACTGTAGTATTGAAATGATTTTTAAAAGCCAATTTGTAGGACATTGTTTAAGCCATTTTATGCTAGTAAAATATGCTACGTTTTTATATTTTAAAGGAAATGCGTGTGAAATAAGTATATTTGAACGTTTTTATTTGAGTTTTGAACAGATGATCTGGCGTGTAATTTTCTAAGTTTTGTATACAAATTCAATGTTTTGTTGAGTTATAAGAGTTCTGCTGACAAATAAAAAGACGTGGATGACTAATTAAAACATTTGAAAGTGGGGTGAGTACTGACAGTATTAACATTGGCGGAGATGATTTTTAGTTTTAAAAGCATATTTTAGTGGCCAAATATTCTATTCTTTGTGGTTAGATAAGAATCCGAATTAACTGAAATACTAAAACTCTATATTTTTGTCGAATTTCGACTCGATGTATTAGTATTTGCTATAATTCTTTGGGCTATTTATTTGATATTTTGCACTGAATAGCATCTTAAAGAACACATCTTGTATGGATCACATGGTATCTGAAGTTCAACTTGTAAAATGAAAACAACTGGTGCAATGATATGGAGGTTCAAAGTTCTGTCATTCTGTGACCTTGGCATCAATAATACATTTCAGTTTCTGCTATAAAGGAACACTATACTTTTAAGCTACCGAGTGTTTTTGAGCAGTCGGTTATGATGAATGCATATAGAAAAAAAGTTCGAGAAAATATTCGCTATAAAGCTGATTTCGATAGTTTCTTAGCTTGTTTTCACAGGAATGATATAGGGCAAAAGTCAATTACTTTTCAGTAGTTTAGCGCGTGGTCTTCAAGGTTTGACGTCATAAAACAAATATGGGGTACCTGCTGATTCCAGTTCAACAGCAAAATCTTGACAAATTATCTTGACAGACGTACAAATATACATGCAAACACACACATACACATATATATATGTGAGATGATGACGTGTTTATCTGAAAAACATTTCTTGGAGGCGTAGTACTCAAAAGGCTTTGATTTCACATTTGTAAGTATATAAAATAGATTGGCATATTTTAGTTTGGTCCAACGGTAAGTATGTATTACTTTATTTAAAATATTGTCATTTTGAAAGTAATGAGTAAATAAAACATAAATAGATTAATAGATAGGTGTATATTTTATCACAGCGTGTAATAGAATGTAATGTTTAAACCATATATACATCGTTGTATTATTGAAATGCTAAGTTACACAATCATTCGCTAGAGCTTTAATTGTTTTATTACTTACTGCCGACAAATCTGTTATGAAGGCAAACTGTACAACATAGTCATTAGAAAACCTATGGTATTGTAACAAAATTATTCAAATTAGTCTTAGAAATATATTTTCTAAAGATTTAAACTCTGATATTCACCCTATGTTGATAAAATGTTATCTTGGTCATGGAAATGTTTATACGGAGTATATGAAATGTGTACAAGTTGAGTAGTTTCCAAAACCTCTGACAGTACTTGAAGCCAACAGATAGTGTTTGTTTGTTCCGTAAGTAAGTACTACTGTGTTATTTCTGTATTGTTACTTTCATTAAGAGTATTGGTTTGAACGTCTACTGTATCTAATTGTATTGCTTTTTAATATATTTTTATTATACTTTTATTATAGAGGTTGTATTGCATTGTTAGCTTAATATATGTATTTAGGACTAACTTAAATGTCTTAAAATGGTCGATCTTCATTAAACATTATTGGCATTATAGTCGAAAATATCGTTGACAGCGAGGGTACCCATCTGAGGAAAATATGCATTATAAGCAAGAAAATTACATTTAATTAGCTGTATTAATTATAAGGTTGAGTGTTTAGTTTTTAGATAGCTTACTCTAACCGGAAGTTAATATTAACTGCTTTAACCATGTAATATATAAAGCCTCTTAAGTCTTGAATATTTCATCAAAATCCTACATATTAAAAACAAAGCATGCTACACACACTAAAGTACCTATCATTTTGAATCCAAAAATCACTAAATTCAGCAAAATGTGCTTTCTACCTCCTTGTATTAATAGACATTTTCAAAATTTGTTATTTGTGCAGGTGTTTGCAGCTTCCATATATTATGTTGGTCAATAAAGTTGTTAAATTCCTTTTTCTCTAGCTAACTAATGTTCTATGTTATTCACCCTATACGTTTTGTTTTCTCACAGGAAGGATAGATGTAAGGTAATCTATGCCACGTGAAGTTAGACGGACATCTTTCTCACTGCCATTCAGTCAACCTTTACAGGAAACAACCCTTCTTGTATTTTATTAGGAAATGACTAGTTACGTGACTAGCTCTAGTTGCTCTGGGTAAGCCTAATTTTAACAATTTTAGATTTAACGATTTTCAGATAATTAAGTCTGGAACACTTTCTACATAGATACATTTTGGAACTAGAGATCACTAAGTTAGAGCTAACGCTCCAGTAAAGGCAATTGTTTAACATGGCAAGTAAAGTGTACATTTCACTGTGTTTGTCCTAAATAAAGATTATTCATTCTAATTATACTAATGTTATGAGTGTTTATTTATCACGACTTCAGTATTCAGAGAGCATAGAATTATTTCACAGTAAATATCTTGTTGAATCTCATGTTATTATGTCACTCTCAGGGAAAACCGGTTTTAACTGAAAATACCACAAGGTGAACAGGTAAGGGGAAAATAGGTTCTCTGACCGAAGGATTTCTTATTGTGAGTTTCCTATGTTTTAGTTAGCATGTGTAACATCCTTACTTAAACTTTATTATTTAGGTTTCAAAACTTTGTTGTAAGAAAATGACATTCTTTAGAACATAAAGGACTTTATGTGGAAGAGGGAGAATTAGTCTCTGAAAAGAGATGGTTGTCTAAGAGGAATGTCAGATTTAGATTGTGGACCTTTGTTGATGCTGTGAGTGACCATGACTTCTTTCTCGTTGTGACCAATGATTCAGGAAGGGGGAGCTGTTGATTAGTGGAGCGTCAAAATCAGTTGATCATGCTCCCCCTCAGAAAATCGACCTCAGTGAAAGGGGTGGCACAAACATATAAAAGTTTGAAATTATATGGAGCAATCTCTATAGGATTCTCAGACGTATGTTAGCCAGAATAACCCAATCTTACCCAATCTTTCATCTCCAATCTACTACTCTCTCGTAGGTTTGGTCAAAGCCACGAGAGAGTAGTAGATTGGAGATGAAATTGATGGATACAATCTGCCACCAGCAGGTAAGACAGAAACCATTTAAATCCATGGGGCAGTTAAGATCGTCTCTGAGCTGGGAGGTATCCTGCCAGAGCAAACATAAATCATGGAGAGACTTGGGGTAGAAGGACCAATAGAAGAGATGCCAAGAGCAACTCACCACTCTGTTATTCAGGATCAGGAACTGACTGCTCATTCAAGGGTCAAGGTCACTCAACAATGCATATCACCCTGTACCTACAATGTCAATGACATTTCTGCTGAGAGTTCCTAAGGTAGAGGCTTTGGCAACAGCCATGAGCTTCTGTCAGTGAAACAGAACGAAATATGCCTTCGACATTCACTTATATGCAAAAGAGGATCTGGACATTTTGCCTGAAATGTCTGGTCTCTAGAACAGGCCATCCTTTGACTGATCTTTTAATTTGGACAGTTGAGCCTTGGGTGCAGTCATAGACGTCACTGATGCAAAAATTATGACCGCAAGACAGTCATTGTAAAGTTGCATCAATGTTTAAACCCAGTGCGAATTTAAGCAATCAATCTACCAGCCGAATTCGAGGCTTAGAGAAGGGGCATCACTGAAGGTATAGCTGCCTGTGCAAATAATTTGCGTGATTTACACAGGAAGGCATACCAGGCAATGGTCTTAGTATATCAACAAGTCATCTTGGTAGATAAAATTATATAGAGCCTCAAGGAGAAGTAATGAGATATCACCTTCGTTTGAGAAACATTTTCACAATAACAGAGGCGGTCTGTCAAGACAAGGTATGAGGTAATAATTTCCAACTGATTTCTTTCTGGTGAATGACAATAAGCTAGAGTTGATAGATAAGTAAATATCTCACTAAGTTTAGACTGAATCACTTACAGAATGAAGGTAGTTATCAATGACATTGGCATTGGCCTCCTTGGGATGGATATATTACAGAGTTTATCATTCAGTTTACTCATGCATCTGGTGAACTAATAATCCATGGGAGAGTTGTCTAATGCCAGACAGATAGGGCCCAGGAATAGTGGATTGCAGGAATGCATGGAGAAGAGAAAGATACAGTACACATGTGTTTTTCTATGGTTTAATGTGAACAAAGTGTGTCAGTATCATGTAATATTATTATAGAACTTAGCGTGAAATAACCTTTTTGTTACTTAAAAATCAAGAAGCATTAACGTGGACAGTTATCTGTCTGTGTGGGAGGAGGATGAAGTGTCAGTGAGGTTTTGCAATTTTAGACAATTTGTTATCCAGCTTTACACCAGCTTGATTAGCAGAATGAGAAAAGAGTGGAAGTAACAGTAGCTATCTCTAACAATAGCGTTGTACCTATCACACCATGTCTAGAACAGACATATGGTTACCAACAAATCTGAAACCATTGGTTGAGGATTATGCTAGCAGTCTAGATCCAGAACAGCAACAACTACGCATTCACTTGTTGGTCGACTGTGATAATGTATTCGAGGAACCAGATAGCCGATTGGGTCACACAACAATGACTTAATGCCACAAAGATACAGGTGATGCACGTCCAATTAAACAAACAGTGTACAGGCTTCCCTGGATCACTATTGGTGTAGTCAAAAACGAAATAAAGCAGGTGTTAAAGGTCAGTATCATATAACCTATGGAAAGTGCATGGTCATCTCCAGTTGTGATTGTCGGAAAGAAAGAAGGTACCCAAATTTTGTATTAATTATGATGAGTGAATGTGTTAAATGGCATCAATGTCTTTCTCTTGCCGTAAAATAATGAATATTTGGACACATTAGAAGGTTCCAATTGATTTTGCACTTAACACTTGACATCCAGATACTGGCAAGTTGTGTTGGATAACAGGAACAGATATAAGATTGATTTTGGAAGGGGCAAGATAACATGGCCGTTACTTTTTAGAGACTGGTGGAGCTTACATTGAAAGGGATACAATTGGATAAATGACAGATCCATGTTAATGACATTTTAGTGTTTGGTTGCACAGTTGAGTTCTGCATTTGAGACCTTGAAACAGGTGTTCAGTAGATAAAAGAAATTTGCTTACAACTGAAACTCGTATAATGTGTGTTAATGCATTGTATTATTGACAATTTGTAGCCAACTTCTCCAAAATTCCCTCACCATTAAAGTAGAAACACACTTTAGACAGAGTGAGGAGTGTGAGCAACCATTCTGATCTGTTAAGTATGTTTTCATAGAAAATTTAATGCTAACATATCCATGAAGAGATTAAGAATTGTTGTTAGATACCAATGCCAATGAACTTGGAATTGGAGCATGTTATGACAATTGAATATTGAAAAAAGAAAGTGCGAAAATATATGATAGTCACATACCCATGGCTTCTTAAAGCAAGTACTGTATGATAAAGAACTGCTTATGTAGTCTTTATGAAATACTCTTGATAAAACACATCTTACTATTACAAAGGACGACGCACGCTCGATACTAGAACTGCAGGAGTATGATATTATCATACATTATCCTATAGAAAATCAACACAGAAATGTTGACGAATTATATTATAGTGTTGTGAGATCCTATCTGTTCATTGAATGTCCAGACACTGCACACTGCGTGAAAACGTTTTAGCCATGATGGCATTAAGCCATGAAGTAGGTGATTTCACTGGAGGATGGATTGCAAAATTAACACTTCAGGAGTTTGGGAAGAGTTACTGGAAAATCCAGATTTACCATAGGAACTGCTTGCAGTGTAGCAAGACGAAGCTCGGCCAATTCAGATAGTCTGTGACACTTGTATCAACAATCATCAGTGGGTGAAGGTTTACTGTTCTATCTCTATAACCAACAAACAGTTGCTCTTAACCTGTTCTGCAACTAGTGGTCACAGAGCTCTAAGGCAAAAGATTTTCCAGATTTTCATATACAAAGACTGGAGATCCCAAAGGTCTTACTCATATTTGTGTTAACATTTGATGGCAATTCTTCTGGTTGCATTCAAATTAAGTTGTCCAACACTGGTGTCAACACTGTACAGTATGTGCCATCCAGAAACTGTAGACCAAAACAAGGTATACTTTAGCAGAGAATTGCTAGTTCTCTTTTACGGAGAGTATTACTGTATGTAGCTGGTCCCCTCTCAGAGCCATATGTACAGGTAGCTATGGACTAATTCACCAAGGTTATGACACATCAGGAACGTTTGTAGCTCATGAGTTGGAGCACATATTTCACTTCATCCCTTTCAGTCTGAGAATTTAGCAGGATGGAAAATCCATATTGTCAAATATATTTTTTGTTTATTCTGATTGAATCAAATGATAAACACTTGCCATATATCATGAGGTGCACAGAGCAACTAAACAAAGATCAACAGGTCGTTCACTAAAGATACTAATATTTGGGCAAGAAGTTCTGCTCCTCGCCTTGCTCTGATAAAGCTTGGCTGACCATTAAGTTCCTTGGTGCTAGACAACCACGCTGCAATCCCAAATTGACAGCATGACTGACTTTGCCTCCAATAGTATTTCAGAACATTAATCACAGGTAAATAAAATAATAAAACGAAAATCAACGTTTTTTACTTGAAGAATCATTTATTTGTAAAGTTTAATAAGTTAAAACTATACAACCATTAGTCTTGAAGTTTTTCTACCCATGAGATGAACCACCTAAATTCTAAAATAATGAACTAGCTTCAATAGAACTATGCTGCAAAAGAGGGAGCAAAACTGGTACAAAGAAAGTGCCTGGATTTCAAACATCAGATTGCTTTCTTTATCCAGTGGACAGTATCACCTCGGGACCTATAATTCCTGGAGCATTAGTCAGATGTCAAATTCAGTTGACATGATACTTCGGCTAGTAATGGATATTTCGGTTTAAATAGATCAACCTATGCTCAAGGTATACTGGAATACTCTTGTGGACTGAAGATATCATCTAGCAAGAAAATAAATTGACTAGAACAAGTACTAGCTGGAGCCACCGTGACAGTGTGGAAGCTAAATAATCAATAGTTAAAAATATTATACCACTATAGATGGAGAGGATAGGGTATGCCTGCATATCACAACAGTTTGCATAAATGAAGATGGTTGCTAGATATTCGAAAACCCAGCTGAAAGGGCAATATAACTCTTGATTGCTTTATCAGAC